AAAAAAAAAAACCAAATCTACCTTTCCTCTTAAAACTCAATTTCAGCATTCACCACATGCAACAACACATCTATTCACTTCTTCACATAACCAAAATACAAGTATTAGTGACCAATACAAAACAAAAAGAAAAAACAACATTAAAAATTGAAACTTCTTTTAAAAACTGCTGGCTTAGTGATGTTCCCAGAGCTGAATTTTCTATCATATTTAACTATGAAAATAAGAATGCTCAGTATGAATTACAATGCAATAAAAGATGTGTGGCAACTCGCCGCTTTTGAAACAGTAGACAAAAACAACTCTCCTTGATTCCATTTACTGCCCTCAGATATGGCCATATTTTAAATGATATTCTGTGTTTTCACAACTAAAACAAACTCCGAACTTCCACCTCTCTGCTCAAACATCCACGTACCACAATCTCCTTCAATTCCTATCCTACTTATAAGGAAAAGCCAGATATTCAGACACAGACTATTCTCCTCTTGAACACCAAATTATCCAATTTTGTGGTCACTAAAAGAACTGCCACATTATTTTCCCTAGAATCATTCAAGACCATGCAGCAGGGATTATCACAGTGGATTGCCATTTTAAGGCAGAAATATCCTGCAGTGCCACTGTTCTTACAGCTGAACTGCAGTAATGCACTCACTTGATATAACCACCTACAAAGGTTGTTTAAAGTAATATGCCTGAGTTTGCAGTAACCCAAATTAGGAATGCTCACAGACTAAGTCAATGGAAAACAATCATCATCACCACAAAGTCAGCAATTTCTTTCTATGATCTGCCTGTTTTCCTTGCAAAAAAACCTGAGGTTTTGTGTCCCAGGTACCACCTTTAGAAGCATAGAGCATTTCATTACAAACCAACACAGCTTGAAGACAAGATCTTAGTTCTGTCATGATGAAATCCAGCACACAACTCTTACACAGACGGACTTGAACTGCAGCTAAGTTTAAATCTAGACAACACGCACCAAGCTATACACCAAAATCTTCTTCTCTGTTAATGTTACTGTACAGCAAAAAGAAAAACTCTTCACTACAACTCAGTATCTTTCTAGGCCGGATACTTCTGTCTCACTGACAGGAAAGTGCTTCTACTTAATATTACTTGCAACGATGAGAACAAATTCCTGCCAAATTTCTAGTGCATGTCTGGACCCCCATTCAGTCACTGATACAAACTTCAACTCTTCCAACCTCTCAAAAATCCTCCCATTCTACTGAAGAGCAACTCCTACCAAAATCCAAAGCTGCATTACACTCTTTCAAAACTCTTTTCACAAGTGTTGTGTGGCAGGATGTGTCCCAAAGCCTCAGCAGTGCCCAGTCAGTGTGTGCGCAGTGAGTGGAGCTTCTAAGAGCTGCTCCAGACGTCCCCATCACTTCCTTGCCATCATTTCCCATCTCATCACACACTTACAACACCAGGATCTTTGTGGCAAGAGAGGAAGCTTTTTTTTCTAGGTTTTATACTTATCTGTCCCTTGGCATTTGACACTGACAACAAGCACCACAAATTACACCACTACGCCATCGATCATCGTTGGAATGCAAAGTAGTTCTTAAATCTCCTTTAGAAAATCAGGTTACCACCCAGCCATGGACCTGCAAACATTATTCAGACCCAGATTCAAGGCTTGAGACAGCAAACACTGAAATGGGCACTGAGGCCTTACACATGCAGTGCCACTTGATATTTAGCATATCTCTGGCAGAGTGGCTTGAGGTTTTGTTTCTGAAGCTACGTTTTCCAATCACGCAGGCAAAAACAGTTAACAACAACCCATCTAACCTTTGTAGATGTTTCCCCTTGAAGAAGTCGATCTTTGTGTCAAGCATGGTTAAGTACTCATAAAACATTAACTTTTACAGAAAGACAAACAATCAGCACCGGGCACATTGCAACAGAAGACTTTTTCTTGCTTGAATAATTCTCTCTTATGTGGAAGGTGGGAAGGAAAAAAATGAAGGTGGGAAATCCATGAACATAGGGCCTCTAAGCAGGAAAATGTCCACTGCAGGATGTGAAAGACGTTTTGTATTTCTTGCAGTGATATCACTGCAGCCAGGGATGGAACACTACAACTGCTGCCAAGACATGTAACACAACAGCTAGGGCTCCTTGTTGCAACTCATGCTGTTCAGGGCAAAGCTCACCAAGGCGTGTGTAGATTAATAGTATCGACTGGAAGATTCTGACAGTTGATCACTAAACATAGAGAGCCTCTAACTTCCAGGCAGCACTGTAAGGGAAAGAACAAGGCCTGTCACATACAAAAAAAAAAAAAAAAAGCATTAACTGAATGACAAAACAGGAAAGACCAGTTATTTAGAAAAATGAAAGAAATAAGCCAATACTTGGTTATTCCTCACGGCAGCACTGAGAAAATCACCATTTGCAAAGCTGCAGAAGAGTTGCAGGATGCAGCAGAACGACCAACCCTGGCTGCTGTTAGGCCTGCCTGCCTCACAGGGCTCTGGGCAGCTGGAATCCAGAGTAAGCACAAAGACTGCCAAACACACTTCATCCCCTACACTAAAAAGGTCTGACTACTTCCTACTTCACCTGGTGCAGCTAGAGCAGAGCTGTAAGCTGTTGTACAGCTCATTTTCTCCTCTTATCACACCTGATCTCATTTGTCTTTTTGTGGCAGTGGTCTTTTGCTCCCCTTCTCCTACCTTATTAGAACAATTTGCCCACACTAGAAACCCACTGAATTCAAGCCTCATTTCCCCTCTGTCTATGCTGATGGTATTTCCTACTCTCTGGTCCTCCTTTCAGTAAAATTTACACTAATAATTTTCCATGTAAAATGGTCCTAAGCCACACAGTCAAAGTCTCACAAGTGTGGGAGGTGAATCAGCAAGAACACTGCAGAGCAAAGCTCCCACATACCTCAAAATGGTACCAAGGCAGCCTAAAAAGGTCGTTCTACATAGCAACTGTTGCTAAGATGGAATATGTTACTGTGTTACTGCAACCCAAGATTTCCAGCCCGGGAAAAACATTCCATGGCCACACTGTTGTTGCTACAAAAGCACCTGCACACTCTCTGCACGGTCTCTGGAACCTCCTTAGCAGTTCAAAATCACATACTCTGGCCCGCAATCAAAAATACCAAACTTACCATTACTTTTAGGCATTGAAAAAGCACCAAAGATTTCTCCTTAACCTAAACAAGATGAAGAAAGGCTAAAACTTGCAATGAAGACCCAGTCAACGGAAAAGAAAAAAAATTATCACACACTGCTTATGCAACGGGCTTTTAAAGTAACTAGGTGTACTGCTTCTGGGCACAACTGAAGGAGGCTACTTTAAATAAATAAATGGGGATAAAGGAAAAGCCATTACCTACATGGAAAAACACTGCTTCTCTATGCTTAGATCTGAAAACAATCATCTCCATCTTGATCTCTCCCATTCCCCAGTGCTGTGCTCAAAACACTCGATATGACAACCTGACAAGCACGAGTCGCAAGATCAAAAACAGTGTACAAGCCTATCTGGTAAACATTTTCTTCATGTTTCATTGCAAGATTTTATGCAACACAAGTACTGTATAGCCTGGATTTCCATTACTTGAGCATACCACTTCAGTGCTGTTGCCTTCCTCTACTGAATTTTCTTTCACATCTCTTGCTATGTGACACAGGCGAATAGCAAGCTTCAAGAGGAACAGCCATGTCTAAAACATGGGGTGGAAACATAACTGTACTATTAATACCAACTGAATAAAAACTTGTGCTTTTCTTGTTATGATCAGCTACGAGGTCAACACGAACTCCTGACCGGTGATGCAAACCAAACGTGATGAAGGACTATGACTCCTGCTTCACTTATGACAGTCAAGCTCCCTATCATAAAAATTGCATTCATTCGTACAACTGTTCTATGCACAGGAGAACACATGCAGGAAAAACACCCCACAAACACAAACAGTTTGGTTTATGTGTTTAGAGACAAACATCATATCATCTTCATGTTGGTAAACAATTACTCATACAAGCCTTAAGCATTCAGTGATTAAGCATCTGTCACAACACAGCAATTGCACAACGTGTCCCTCAGCTTCTGGATTTCTTCCCACATTTATAGTGACGCAAAGCAAGTCGCTAGCTGTAAGAACGGAACGAACAGTGATATGCCACAGGTACTGAAGCTCTTCCTGATCCGTGCTTGAAAGGAGTATCTTAAAGGAAGAAAAAAAAAAAAGAAAAAAAAAAGAAAAAAAAAGATTGCATTTAAACCAAGTCATAGAAAATGTTTCCAAAGCCTGCTTGGAATTAATAATACATTTGCTTTGGAAAAACAGTAAGTGTCATGATTTCTTGCCTCATAAGCACATCTAACAGTGAATTGAAGGCCAAAGGCTTAAATGAAATCCACATGAGCTCAGCTCCCAAATGGCTTTGGACACCAATGAGAAATTTCAACTCTTCAGTACCCTTCATAGCCAGCAAACATTGGGTGGACCAGTAACACTACTTGTCTGGAGGTCCCTTTGGCTGAGCCTGAGACAATCAACCATCTTTAACATTCTAGACTGTAAGTTCTATATGACCTAAAATCTTAAGTCAAGCATTTGATGTAACAAAGTTTGGGTCTGGCTTCAGCTTCATAAAAAAAATAAAGCAGCAATAATAATAAAAGCAAGTGATACTCTGGTTAGGCTAATAATTATAATGACCTTAAGTGATATAATATGTGGAGAAATGTAGCTCTTCCTTAAAGCCTTTCAAAACATTCATACGTTTAGAACTTCTATGCTTGAAAGCAAATATGCTTGTAGTAATGTTTTCTGGCACTCGTCCTCAGCTGATACAGTAGCCCAGTCATACTTCATGGTACAGGTCTCTGTCACCCTGCAGTTTGAGTGTATACATTTCAGCGTAAGTGTCCAGCTGCATCACTCTAGCAGCGTGCAAAACCCAGAAAATGAACCACATCCAGGACTCTACTCTCATTCAGGCATAAAAACAGAAGCTTTACCCATTAAGGTGCCAGTGCTATCAGAGAGCAGACAATCAACAAGTGCTCTTGCTTAGTTTTAGCGTGAATGTGCTGAACCATCTCATCCTGAACAAGATTATACCATCAATTCAAAGCTACATTTTAAATATCAAGAAAAAATTTCAGCAGCTATACTGTACAGTTGTTATACTGTAACATTCAATGTTTGCTCTGGTCCCAGTTTTGCATGCAAGTTTGCACTAAAGTTTGGCAATCACCACCTTAACCATATCAACAGACTAGCAACTGTAAGATCTCAAAGCACACGTGAGCACTCGATCCTTATGAATCAAGCCAATGTTTCCCAAGAGCTTAAAAAAAAAAATAATAATAGTGACTAGCAACTCTACACAATCTACACAACAGACAAACCAACTTCCTTCCTTCCATCCAATCCAACACACACAGTGTTGAGCAGACACAGCAGTTCCGTACTTCAATTATCAGCCCCACATCATATCCTTGCAGGCAACAATCTGCATCTGCAAGGACAAAAATCTTCACTTTGCCAAACATTATGTCAAAATGGTGTCACACTCAAGTTCCATTTATTTTTCCAATACTTATTTCGCACAACTTCACTAATCATCTGTAAGCATCCTTAAAAAATAATAATAATAATAAAAATTTTGTTGTATTGCCACTATTTAAAGTCAAAAACAAACACTCTGAGAATGAATTTTAAAACATTAACTCCTCAAGCTGAAACCTGATCAAGTAATGAACAGCTCTGAAGCCAAATAACCACACTGTCCTGGTCTTTTCACCTAGGAAGCCTTTTACCCAATTGGATATCACTATTGACTTTAGATAGCAGCCTCTTATCAAGAAAAGTTGTGTATGCCATTCCTGTAAAAACCAGGCTTTTTGAAGTGAGTTTAGAAGTGCACTTAAGAACTTCCACCAGGAATTTTACTTGACTAGTCATACTAACAATAAGCATGCAATAGACACTTCTGCTAGTCTGTTTTTCATTCAATAGTGTTGCAAGGTGACCACCCAAATTAAAACCTCTATTGTTTCCATAGAAAACATATCACATTTAATGGACCATGGACCACCATTTATTGACTCATTCAACTTTTCCAACAGTTTTAACACACAAATTGAAGTAATTAGGAAGTGACAGTTTCTTTAAAATACCCTTCACTCACAGCACCAACAAAAAAACTTTCACACAAATCAAAAATGCAAACATTTACCTCCACATTATAAGTAACCAAATCACAGAAAACAGCACAAGAGTTTCTGTAAAAAACTTAAAAGAGTGCATGTAACATCTTCAACAGCAACGCTCAGTATATTCAGAATATTACCAGTTGGTGCTGCCCTCCCGAGCCCAAAATTTTCAATTTTTAAATTTGGGAATTTCCTTGTAACATTTGCCTTCAGTGATTGCATTTATATACCTTGCTCACCACTGTTTGCTTAACTGGTAGCAGCGTGAGCACTCCAGCAAGTGCAAGCCACATTTTTCTCTGTGATGGCTACCAACAACAAAAACAGCACAGAAAATATCACAAACCATCATGCAAACAAGGACCAAAGTGTTAAGTAATGACTGATCAGAGCTACCTAACCTGCTATTCCCAGTGAAGGTAAGGCACACAGCTCCTAAAATACACACATTCCCTAAAAAACCCTCTTGCATGGTTCACAATGGGGTGTTTCAGTCTTTTCTTTAAAAACCACTCAAGCAACAGTTTGAGGATGTGCTTGATGTGCCCATCAGAACAGCACTGGGTCCAATCATCATTTAACATGCTGCAAGTGGAAGCCTAAAAGCAGCGCAGTGGTGCAGCCAAGAACCCTGGGACCAAACACCGACTTCGTTTTACACGTTCCAAGCGAGACGCTCTGCTTCTGGGTTACCTGTGAAACAAAACTCTAACGACCGCCGAGATTAGTGACCAGCTCTTCAAACAGATCGCACGCCGTAAATGCACGAACATGGAACCAAACGAACAGAAGATTCATAAGTAAACAGACCCCAGAACGCCTCCATTCCACCTGGGGATTCGAACCGGCGCCGAGGGACGAAGCGGAATGAAACCGCGGCCCAGGAGAAAGAGCCAACAGCCCCAGCAGCCCCGGCACCGCAGGGACGGCGCCGGCGGGGCCAACGGCGCGGCCACTCCCCCTCACCCCCCGGGTCGGGCTCCCACCGCGGCCCCTCGCGACAGAGAAGCGCCCGCTCCCTTCCGCCCCACCGGCGGGCCCCGCGCAGGCCGCACAACCCACCTGCTCCTCCTCCCAGCGCGGCAGCCATGGCTCCTCGCCGTGCCCAGGCGGCGGCAGGCCCCGACAGCGCCTCCGGTGCCGCCCCCGGGAGCGGCGGGGAGAGGAGGGAACGGGGAAGGGCCCGGATTCAGCGCCCGGCAGCGGCCCCTCGACGCGCAGCCACCACCGGCGAACAACAAACTACCACAACATGGCGGCCGCCACCGCCGTCGCTGTCGCCGCCGCCACCCTCGCGTTGCATGATGGGATGGCGGAGGACCGGTCCCTCCCTCTCATGGAGGGAGGGCGATAGACACCTCTGGTTGGTCAACGAGAGCCGCGGACGTCATCCGCTGCGCACGCGCAGTGCTCTCAGCCTGAGGTTTAGATGGCTGGGCGGGCGAGGCGAGAGTGCGCATGTGCGGGAGGTGGAGCGGGCTGAGCTGCGCACGGATGAGGGGCGGGAGTGCGCGTGCGTGGTGTCCGCGTTGGGGTTGCAGTTGTGCGGCGTTGCGTAGCGGCTCGTTTGGGCCCTCGGAGGGTTGTAGGATCGCTTGCAGCGTCAGCGCGCCTTCGTCAGTGTCCTTCGAGTTCGTCTTCCTGCTCTTCACCGCACCACCCAACCCTTATGGCTGAGAGCGGTTTCCCAGCGCTCCACCAGCTCCCTGGGCAGCCTATTCCAATACCTCCCCATCTCTGAGCAGAAATTTTTCCAAATATCCAACGTGACATAGCACTCTAGATCCAATCTGCCTGCAGGCTAAAAGTCCTTTTCCACTGCTCGTTTCTCTAGGCGTTTCTGTCCTAGCTCGGTAATACACTCCTCCTTTTCAGAGGACTAAGTGACTCTGTGACCACGGGGCAGATCAGGTCACTGATGTCACAGAAAACTAACCTTTGAGAGCCAACCCGTATTAGCTTTCCTTCTAATGGGGGAAGAGAGCTTGTGGCATTCTGAACAGAGCAAGTTAAGGAGCATAGAAATGTGCCCTGATATACAGCAAACTTTGTGCTATCTGTAAAGCCCAATGTGAACTTAAGGAATACTGTGGAGCCTCCTACAGCAAGACTGGTTCAAGTTACAAGCAAAACTTTCCCAAGTGGACAAGCCCTCATGGAAATAATTAACAATGTTAATATTTAAATTATCAACATTATCTGATTAAAGCCACGCTAAGAGAATAGGGAAGTTCTCATGTCACTTTGCTCCAGGCTCCCTGAAGACTCATTGCTGCGTTGCGTTTGGTCTCATTTTTTAGCTTTGCTTCACAACTGTACAGCTAGTGATTTATTCTTGATAGACTTCTGTACACTCCAATTTTAATTTAGGAAACACACCACCAGTAGGTCAGCACTAGTAACTTAATATATAGTCCATCTGCCCAGCTGTGATTGCCTCACATAGAGGTAGAAGGTAAAATGTGAATCCTAGAAGGTAAAATGTGAATCCTACTACTATCAGTGGTAAAAAATGTGACAATTCCTGTGGGGCTGGGATTTCAGCCACCACATCTTGGTATCCATCTTTCTTTTGGGTAACTGTTTTGCAACGCAAAAGGATTTCCTGGGAGTTCTGCAATCCCTTTAAAGACTGCAGGAAAAAAATATGGGGTGAGAATGTCAGTCTCAGCAGCAGGTTGTTACATTTCACAGCTCTTGACAGAAATCTCTGTGTTCTTTCTGGCTGAGAGTGGGAAATGAAGTTATTAAATGTAAACAGTATGTACAGTGAACATCTGAGTGGCATTCAGATATGTAAAAGTGTACTTGATAGGCATTCAGTATTCTATTTTTGTGCTTATTTTAGTACCAATTTGACTTTCTGTGACTATCAATCCAAATGCAAATCAAGTTACCAAGTGTTTCCTTGCATATGCTTAACACACCTATTTAATATCAAAAAAAGGAGTAATAGGATAGTTTACTCTTAGTCTCTTTGTTAGTATATAGACTCTTCAATCATTTTGTATAATTCTGGTACCAAGAAAAGTGGCTTCTTCTGAATGCCTAAACTTAAGCAGGTCTGGAACAGGGACCCAAACTACGATGACAGAAACAAGAGTAGTGGCTGTACTCACCTTCACTCAGATGAGTTCTGTTTCCTTTCTGTGAGTTTTCAAATTCCAGGTACCATAACTGCTCTGGATTCTCAATAGAAATTCTTACTTCCACTCAGTTCTAGCTAGCCTGTGCTGTAAAATGTGAGTATGCCCAAGTTCTTTCTGTAAATAAGAGATTAACAGAATTGCCAGCTTCGGGAAGTTTTAAACCCGTGAATAAAAATGCCTCAATCTGAACCAATCACCAGTTTATTAAATAATTCTGAAAGTTCTACAAAAAATGTACTCGTCAGCATGTCTTCCAATCTGTGATTGGGAATCCTACAGCTTGTTTTACAATGGGATTAAAAAAACAACTGAGCAAGAACTCAAGATGCCTTTAACCCTGGCTCTGCTCTGGCTTGCTGCATTACTGGGGCAGCTTACCTTTCATCTGCTGTAACACACTTCCCTCTGTAAACTGGGCAGAATACTGCTAAACTATTTTTTTATCTAACTAGGTAGGCTTTTTTGCTCAGATTGTTATTTTTTGCTTGCACACTGAAATGGTTGAAAGCCATAGGTTAGATATCCAATAAAGCAGAATTCCAAGTTAATTCCAATGAACGCTGCCTGCGAAGAAGGTAAGAACAGTGTTATCAACAGTAAGAGGCTGCTAAATCCTTAGAGAAAATATCTTTTTGGCTTCTCTTGTACCACAGTAGTCTCTTCATGAGCTTTCATTCCAGTTCCACTCAGCCTGATAAAGGAATAAAATGAGTTTTGTTACTTATATTTATCAACTATCTTATACATTTCCTATGCAGCCCAAGACAATTTCTTTTCATTCAGTGCGGCCCAGGCAAGACAAAAGTTGGGTATTCATGATTTAAAGGATACAAATGAGGTGTGTGAAAATGAATTCACTCTATTATAGGTGCCTTTGAGCCTGTTGATAAAGACAGCAGTCCTCAGGGGCTGCAGTGCCTCTTAAAAGGTATACACAGATGAAATATGTTTTTTCTTTGAACATATTCCACATAAGTGCAGAGGCAGAAGAGGAAATAGGGAGGACTTAAAAATCAAGTAGATGTCTTCATGAATGAGAATAGCATGAGAATTAAAACAATGGAAATACGATAAAAAATGTGATTAATTTTGAATAGAAGATATTTGAATAGAAAACATATCACCAAACTAACCATAGCTTCAGAACTTCAGAACCTGTTCATGTAGATCATCTGTTGTTATCACTGTCATTTTCACTGTTTCCATTCCCTGTTCTTGTTATTTATTTATCCATTCACTGCAACTTATCTACCTTGTCTGCAACCTACTTGATGAATCTTATTTCGGTTATGATTTCTTCAGAGCAACATGACCCGAGGACCACTGAAACAGCTGCTGGGTGGAGAATGGGCACTTTTGTGTGCTGAGAAATGGTCCTAACAAGCAGTGTGCCTGTCAAGTGTATTATTAATGTGTATTGTGTGAAGTCTCTAGAAAGCCACCAAAGATCAAAATCTCAACAGATTGAATGCACTGTACAGTGAAACAGAGTACAAAACATAAATTATCACCAGCACCAACCCAGGCTGAAGGATATACATTACAGTCTAGGCAGCATAGCAGTAATCAGTGAGCAAGGCAAAGGGGAATGAAGCAGTACTGGCCTCCAGATATACAAGCAGTGCAGCTACCAATTTAACTCAGCGTGACATTTGTGTAACGTGTGTCCCTTGGCTGATTCTCTGGGAATCAAAAGAGAAAGGGGAGCTGGACATCTCAGTTGCAGGAGGAGGTTCCAGCTGTAGCTTTGGATTCCAGGTACTGCTCTGGACCCCAGCGTTTGCAATATTTTTAGTAATCTGGACAAAAGTAGTCAAGAAACTACAGAGGAACCCAGATGTGAAATATATTACAGGGTTTTATTTGAGTATTTTTTCAGTCTGGACCCTGGAAGTCCTGCGGGCTTTGTAGAACAGAGGGCTGCACCAAGAAACTGACTTGTGTTAGAGGCAGCAGTTGAATCCAAGTGAAGCTAGCGTGTGTAAGGCAGTCCTTATGAATGACTCAGTGGAAATAGAGTGGAAATGTATAATGTGTCTTAGGCAAAGGAAGCTGTACCCCATGACTGACTCCAGAACAAGTGAAAGTTAGAAGTGTTTCTGGAGGTTTCTTAATGAGGATGCAATATAAAGCACTGGGGATGTTCAGGTTGGTTATCAGAAGAGGTTCTTTATCGGAGGGTGGTGGGCATGGAACAGGCTCCTCAGGCTAGTGGGCACAGCTCCAAGCTGCCAGAATTTAAGTAGCATTTGGACAATGCTATCAATCAGATTATCTGATTTTGGGGTGATTCTGTGTGGAGCCAGGGGTTGAACTTATTGATTCTTATTGGTCCCTTCCAACTTGGCATGTTCTATGATTCTATGATTACTGGTCTTGCCTGAGTGCTGAGTTTGAAAATGGACTTTCTTCCTTTGGACACAAGCTGGCCTGTATCATACCTTACAGAGTAATGAGATTAGGATGACTTCAGGCAAACCTCAAAGTAGCACAAGAAGCATTAGAAGCTCAGTCTCTTGTGACCCATACCCATGAGCAAAGCCCTGTGCTCTGTGGAACCCTTCCAAACTTGGAGGCTTTCTACACAGGTACCAAATATTAGCTGTCATACATTAACTTCCTGATCTTACGTTCCTAAAAACTCCTCATACCAGAAGGCTATAATCCTGTTAAGGGCCTCTGGGAACCACTGCAATGCAAATAATAGTAGCAATAATTAGCTCTACTTTAATTGATACTCTGTATTCCTCAAATGTCAGGGAAAATTTACTTTGTTAAGCCAACAACTTCTTCCCTGGAACTCTACAGGCTTTTCCAGAATTACACAAGGGATGAATTTGGATCATTGCTGGTTCCTGGCATAAACTATCAGCTGTTGATTTTTTGCCCTTTAAAACTTGGCAAGCATACAGGAGGAGTTTGCCAGACATACAAGAGCTGGATCTATGCATTTAAGGAGAAATCCTTAGGGACTATGCATAGAAAAGAGTGCAATTTGCTAGAAGTATCCAGCTGTGAAATCCAAGCCCTCCTGCACACCACCCCAGCAACTCACAGTGTATTTAGACTGGCCTTGATACCAGTGGTTCCTGGAAGCAGTTTTTGTTGCCTTCAGCTTTATGAAACTGTGGATGTAAT